ATCCATTCTTGAACCATCTGATGTCACCTGAGAGCACTGGTGGGCTCTGAGAATGGCTGTGCTGTGTGATGTGTTCTCGTGGTCTGTCCTCCCAGGCTCCGGGCACCACCAGGCCTTTCCAAGCACATTGCTGCAAACCATTTATGTATGGGTAATTCACAGCAGCCTTTGGCCAACTTCAGCAACAACTTTGCAATGCACTGCACCCTCTTATTACAGGCCTTTGGCTACTTAGTAATCTGGGAGCACCCTGGAGATCAATGGCGAAAGTCTTGGGACTCGACTCTGTGAGATGTGAGCTGTCTGTTGTGGAGCCTTTGTTCTAACAGCTGGTCTTCTGATTTTTTCTGTTGCTGAGAGTTCCCAGTGCCCCTGTCATGGTCAGTCCCCAGCTTCAGGTCCTGCACATAAGTTTTTCTAAGAGTCTCAGCCAGATGGATTGACACAGTGACAACTGCAGTGGGCTTGAGAGTGTCAGGAAGTATGAGGATGGTACAAGGATGGAATAGGGTTCCGATCTGTTGCTCTTGGGGTCGCTGTGAGTCATACTTGACTCATACTTGATGGCCTCTAAAAACAACAAGAGCATCTCATGGCCCTCTGGAACTGAGACCCACCCCTGCCAGGCCTCCTCTGCCCACCACCTCCTGGCCTGGTGGCATTGCTCATTTTCCCTCGGCCTCCACCCGGTCTGCCCCAGGGCCCATGTGCCTGCTCCCCCAGCTCCCCCAGCTCCCCCAGCTCCCCCAGCTCCGGCTCCTGGGCTAGCCCGCCTCAGCCAGAGGTGTGGGAGCTCGCTGGCTTCCCCTCACTTCACCACTAACCAGCAAACGCCCTTCCTGCTCTGCCTTGTGGCCATCTTGTTCAAAGCTTCCACAACATCCAGCAGTGGCAGTGATGGCTCCAACTGATTGCCCTCTGGTCTCCTCCATCCTCAGGCCCCTCTGCACCTCGCTTCCACATTGATTTCAGACACCCCAGTATCCCACTACCCGTTCAGGGGTCCACTGGCTGGGCCAGCACTTGGACAAGTCCTCAGTGGGTATTGATCAGTCAGCAAACAGGTTGTGCCTGCTCTCCCACTCATTAGCCCTCATGATCCCCTGTCACCAGTGTCCCCTCTCCTTGGAGGCCACGCCCTGCCTCCTTCATGATCCTGTCCCACACCGCTCACCTCCTCGTCCCTGGGCCTCATTTATACCGTGCTCCTCCACGGGACTCTTCTAACCCTAAAACGCTCATCTTCCTCTCCCAGATCTGCCTGGTGTTTAAGAACTGTGTCAGGACCTTAGAGTCCCCTCAGTTTGACAAAGCAGTGGCCTCCAAACATTTCTGTTTGCAAATCTAAAAAAGAGCTCTGGGGGAAACATGGGATCATTTGGATGGTTTAGCTTGAGCTCTAAGATGTTTCATAAGTTTAAGTACATTTCATTTTCACTAATAAGAAAAAAAGAAACATTTTGTAAAATGGACTGTGAGGATTAGAATAAATATTTTATGATATAATTTGGTGAAATATAATTTTAATTACATCACTGAAGAAAGTACACTGAATCTCTAATGACATAGTGGTAAGGAACTGTGCAGCCAGCTCAGAGACATGCAGTTCGAATCCACCAGCTGCTCCGCAGGAGAAGGATGGGCACTCTCCTCACATGTGATTTACTGCCTCTGAAAACCCTGTGGAAGGTCGGCTGTGGCTCGGTTCTGACTTGATGGTAGACAACAAGACTGAATCTGGAAGAGAAATCACGGAAGAATTTTGTCAGTGAGTTTTAGACGGCATATCTTGGAAAGTTTTTCCATAAAATTCCAGCAACATTCAAAAGAACACATTCTTGCATCTAGATGGCTTCAGGTTTGCTGGACACAGGACAGCTTGGACCAGGCTTTTTTTGGTAGTAAGTGCAGGACAGAGATGAAAGAGCTCCTGAGAGACCTCAGGCCCAGTGACATGTTAGAAAGTGCATCCCAGACACTGGGCTTCGAGTTGGCATGAAGGGGCCTGTGTCTGCTCCTCTTTGTCTAGCAAGGGGCACAGGGCAGGGGTTGCACCTTCTTGTGTGAGGTGAAAGATGTTGTGGAGTATGTGTTCTTGGGCAGTTTTAGAAAATAGAGAATTTGAGAATCTAAAAATTGGTTCCTGTAGAGCTCCTACAAAGTAGATTTGCAAAACCCCAACTGAAGAGTGGTGACACTGCCCATTCAGAAAGGTCAGAACAGACACCCAGAGAGGCATAACCTTGGAAGAAGTGGCTTTTTTACGGCAGATGGGATCTCCGTGTGTACTGGGGGAGTCAACCCTCAAAGCCGGCCTTTGTGCAGGGCTTCTCTCAGTACCTTTTCTCTTCTGAGCCCGTGAGCTCACGGTCCTTTATCTGTGATGTGAGCTTCTCCTCCTCTCGCCATGTGGCTGGTTCTGATGACCAGGGCCAGCGAGCCTAGTGCTCAGCAGGTGCTTCTGGACCAGCTGGCTGGTGGCACGCATGCTTCCCCTGGTCCCTGGGGCCTGTGCGCTGCGAGAGGATGGTATGCGTGACTCTTACAGGCTGAGGGCATTGCTCTAGGCTGGCCCAGCCAGTTAGGAGTGATGATGGTGAAACAGTTTAGAAAAGGGTGCTGAGGAAGGCAGCAAACTAGAAAAATGAAACCAGTGTGGCTGAATTACACAGGTAAAAACTGATGCACTATTGCTGTGCAAATTCTTCACTGCCTGTGTTCCCCAAAGTTCCTCATTGTTCATGTGCAGGAATGTTGTTGTTGTTATGTCCCATCGAGTCGCCTATGACTCCTTGTGACCCTGTTACGGGAGCCTTAAACCCTGCTCTATCCTGTGCCAATCCCACTGTCTCCAGCACACCTATCCCAATTACCCCCCATTATGGTTGGTTACTGAATCCGTCCATATCATCGAGGGTCTTCCTCTCCTGTGCTGTCCCTCCAACCTCCCAAGCACGGAATCCTTCTCCAAGGTGTGCAGGAATACCTGAGTGTGTGTGTGTGTGTATTTGTTGTAGTGTATTATCAAGTCAGAACCGACCCATAGCTGACCCTCCAGTGGGTTTTCAGAGGCAGTTAAGGATATGAAAGAAGATTACTCATCTTTCTTCTACAGAGCAGTTTGTGGGCTCAAACCATGTGTCTCCACTAGGATAATAAATCATTCTTCCCCTCTTGGGTTTGTCCTGGAGCATGCTTGTTTTGTCATATCACTTCCTACCATACCCTCTGTCTGAAGAGTTAACAAGAGTTAGGTTTAGGGTTTAGTTGGCAGAAAGCTTACCTGTACAGAGAGATTAACTTCATGATGTAAATTTAATAGAGAGAGCTCCTGGTGGTGATGATGATAATAATTTTTGGTTTTCTTTTTATTTGGAGGGACGATGGTATTTTTAAAAGAATAAAACTACTTGACCTAGTTCAACCTCTAGGAAAAGTTTTGCCTTTGCACTGGGTAACAGCAGTAGCAGGATTTTAGTTGTAAAACAGCTGTGGTTTGGTGACGTGTTGAACCTCATTCCATCTGCTCAGGCTCATTGTTGTCGAACTTGGTCTCATCATTGAGACCAACACCAATGAAAGGCTTAGCTGCCTTTCTCAATGAACAATAGGACTGGTAATACATTTTGAAGCTATCAAACAGGTATTTAATGTTCATTTATGTGCCAAAATTTAGATCATTATGTCACTGCTATTATTGCAACCTTGGATGTCATAATGCAGAAGGGGATGATGAAGAGATGAGGAAACGGAATCCTGTCAGTTGTTTTACCTCGTATGTCTGTTTTGCTTCACATAGAGTACCATTATGCTGGATAGGTAAGAAAGGGACTGGAGGTGGAAATAGAGTGCTTGTTACCACAGAGAATTCTTCAAATTATTATGTGTAGTTAGACTGCTTAGACCAATCAGCTTGTCCTATCTGTTTGAAAATGTATACACAGTTTAGTAGCAACAGGTGTATCAGATCTGGTTTAGATGGATCCCACATGCTAAACTTTCTGTTGACAATTCCACATCCCTGTTTTTGTTTTGTTTTTACATGGATTTTCTGAAAAATAGTCAAGTAGTTATGCTTTCTGGACAGTAGCAAAATACTTTCTAAGAGACAAGTGTCATGACACCACATAAGAATATACTTCTCGTAGTAATTTACCTCTGACTATTTGGTGTCTTAACACTTGGTTTATATCACAGTGCTAGTTTGCAAACCAAAATTGACATATTCTGTGGTTAACTTGTTGTTAACAGAATGCTTTGCTTTAGTTGTATTTCTTCTCTCTTCTTTTGTCTTAAATGGGTTAATATTTAGTCTCCATGAACTTCCCTTTGAAAGAGCCTGTAAAAAGTCAGATGAGTCTAAAAGTGTTCTTTGAAGTAGCAGCAAATCGGAGGTATATGTTCTGTTATATAGAAAAAAGTCCTTGCTGTTTTCTTCCATTTAACTATGCCAAATTGTATATAATTCATAGGAAATTCACCTTCTGTGTGGTAAAACAACCCAATAAATATTCCATTTTGCTCAATAAAAAAACAAACATGCAAACAAAACTGTGTCTTCAGGGATTTCAGGGCAGTTTCTTGCAGCTAGGCCACCAGACTACACACACACACACACACACACACACACACACTTTTTATTGAGAGATAATTTATAGTTACTTTTCAAAGCATCCAATTCTTAATATTCAGTGCATTGACCAATGTGCACACCATTGTAATCAAGTCCTGATGCAGGAATAAAGACATTAACTGGTTAACTAAGAAACAGAAAGGGCAAGACTAAAGTTCCAGAAGCTGGAGCTGCCCAGCGGGCACCTTCCATGGGCATCCATGTCGTGTGTCTGTAATGTGTGGCCGTCAGTCCCTTCGCCTTGGTTCTCATGCTCTAAGGGGACGTGTTCAGCCTCTGGGGGTGTGAGCCTGCCCCTCCCCAGGGCTGGCAGGATGGCTCTGGGCTGTGGCCGGCACTCACTGCCGTGCACTTTTCTCCTCTGCAGGTGTTCCACTGCGTCCACTTTGAATGTCCAGAGCAGCAGAACAGCCAGAAGGAGGACAGCAGCGAGGACTCGGGCCCAGCGGACACCAGCCTGGCAGGTCAGCAGCTGGACCCCCGCGCCCTGCAGGCCCCTGGCGGCAGCTCTCTGCCCTCCAGCCCAGGCTCTGCCTCCCGCTCACCCCAGCGGCAGCACCAGTAAAGGGAAGAGACGGGTGTGGATCGATGTGGGTAGGCGCAAGCGACAGCAGGAAACTGTGTCCTCCTTCAGCGGGAATCTTTGTTGACTGTCCTCCACACCCCCACTTCCGGAGAGGAGCAGACTTGGCTGGGGAAAAACGGACATAGAACAGGTTTCCTCCCAAGGACAGAAAGCTTTGTTCTCCTCAATTTGTTCTAATCAGGCTGGTCTCCAGGGGAAGAAAATGGGTCTTCAATCTTCATCAAGTCCACCCTACCTCTCTAATCTAGCCCAGGCGAAGGGGACAGAGGAAGTCATAGGCCGTGCTGGAGTTCAGAAACAGCACATGGTGTGGACGGAGGAGGGGCGAGAGGCCTCCAAACCGGGAGGCCCCTCTAGGAAGTGGTTTGACTTTTATGGAACACATTGTCCCCGCAACAAAGTTATTTTTATTTCCTTTAGTTATTCTTCATTTGCTGAATCATAGGTGTTCCAGATCTCTTTGAAATGCTCAAGCAGCAAATCACTTGTTTCAGTCCCTTCTGACGCTGTAATTTTCCTCCCTTCATTTTGAACGGTTAAACGTGGGGCGGAGCAGAAACACAGATGCAGCTCATAGCACCTGCCTGACAGGGAAAATCCTGCGAGGAAGCTCAACAAAATACACAATGAGCAAATCAGTCTGTGGACACGGGAGTTAATAATCACTCCAATTGCTGAGTTATTAGCCTGTCATTCCTGAAATGTATCCAGAATTGGCTGTTAAGCTTGTGGGAATGACAAGGAAAGAGTTGTGCCACTGGTTAATTTAATGTTCACAAGTATATGTGTATCAATATATCTCTACACCAAGTTCCAGTTTGGTGAGCCTGCCTGGGACCCTGGAGTTGACCTGCTCTCTGGGTTTTGTGTGGCCGAGCGGTGGTCAGGAGTCATACCGGGCTGTATGGGCATCTTGGTGGCGTCCAGTGGTTGCTGTGTTGCAGTAGCAAACTGGGGATTGAAGAAGCACTTGGAAGGAACTTTTTCTAATTTCATTCGACTCTTACTGTAGCTTGATCTGGCTGTTTGCTTTGTCTCTTAGTCATTCCCATTCCAGTGGTAACTCCCCTCAGCACCTTGACCAGATTGTCTGGGTTTTGGTGGTTTGGCTTTGGATTTTGTTTACCTCCCGTGTTGTCCAGCATTGAGTCAGCTTGGACCACAGCTGGACAAGCCCTTCTTGAGTCCTGAAAGCATGTAGTGGCAACGCCCCAAAACACAGCATCCCCTACACGGTTTCCTGCAGACCACGTGCTGGGCCTCCGCCTGGAGGAGCATGTGGAGCTGTTAGGGCGGCTCTGGTTAGGGTGTAGAAAGAGCGAGTGGGACATTTAACGTGGCCTATTTTCTCTAGTTTATCGTCAGCTTGAGTGATATATTGGTATTGAAATAGTACAAGAGCATCACACTGCCTGGCAAAGGGGAAGGAGATCCTTTCTGTGTGAACACGGGCTGGCAGAAAACAGGTCACTAAGCCAGGAGACTGTTCTGGAAGGAGAGGCCGCTTGCTCCGCAGTTCTCCGTGTTTCTCCTCAGGGAGGTCGAACCATGCAGCACCTCTGAGGCTTCCCCTTTGCCCCACTCCCAGGGCCCAGCTCTAGGGTCTCTGTCCATGTCTCCATGGTCTGGGGTGAGGGAACCCCCTGAGGAGGTGCTTGACTCCTCAGATGCCATTTCCCCAGATGAGGCTCCTCTAATGAGTGGCATTGCTGCTCGTGCTCTGGTGGGAGGCCACTCTCTGAAGCTCCTCTGTCGGCGTCCAGCCCCCAGCTGCCAATTAGCACCAAGGGTTCCTGTCCCCTCAACACTTACTTCCACAGCCCAGACTCTGCTGGGTGTGGGACAGGAGTCAGCAGATAAGGCATTTCAAGGGCAGAGTTCACATGTTTTTACACTCTCTAGTTAGAGCCGCCTTCTCAAACATTGCAGTTGCCTGTCTGGACCCTCTAGCTTAGAGACCTGCTCTGCTGGCCTCTGGATCTAGGGAATGACCCACCTCTCTCCAGATCTTTCCACTCACTGCCCCTCACTCCACCCAGCACTGCAATGCCCACTTTTTCTCATGGCTGAAACAGCTACAGACCATCCCCAACTCCTACCCGATGATGGTATTTGGATGTCCCCCACTTGACAGCGCCTGGTTGGGGGCTGAGGCAGATGCTGAAGGAACAAAGGCAGACCTGTCTATTTCAGGGCGTTCTGCCGGCCTCTACAGCCTTCTTACTGAGGGACGGGGGGGCCAGGACCCCAGGCAGGTGCTTCACACCAGTCATGCCCAGGGCAGTGCCCACACACTTGGGAAGGAGATGAGATGGCAGCTGGAATAGCCCCGGCCTCCCTGACGAACAGTGGCCCCAGCTAAAGCCCACGGCTGGCAGAGTCGGGGTAACTTCAGGAGGTGCTGTCCAAGATTTCTCCTTGGGCCACGCGAGTCTCGCAAGTGACAGAAGGATTAGGAGCCAGGCTGGTCCACAGCGTGGGAACGTCCCGTCCCTGCCAGCCCAGGGTGGAGGGCAGCATAGTGACAGCTGTGGGGAGCGGCATGGCGTCACACCAGTGAGGCCGGGGTGAGGGTGTCCAGACTGAAGTGAGGAAGACAGAGGGGCAGTGGGATGTCGCCTTCCCCCAGCTGCCAGTCAGGGATGAAGGGACAGACAGCAGGGTGAGGAGGGGTCCTACCCGTCAGGCCTGCTCGGGGGCCGTGCGGTCTGCACTCTGGTCCTCAAGTGGCCGTAATGTAGCCCCACACACACTTGTTTCCCCGTATTCTCAGTGCTGCCTCTGTTTTCTGATTTTACTGAGAACCGTGAGCCCATGATGGATGTGGGCCTCTTCTCAAGTGCTCTTTAAATTGTCACTTTTTTAATCTTACTAAATGAAGTGTTGATTCCTGACAAATACATTAAAAGTGTTTTATTCCTAGAAGAGTTGGAGGAAGAAATTCTTTTCAGCAAGAGTGGAATGTGCTTGTGAGACTGATTCGTTGGCAAGGAAAAAAGAATGAGTTTCGGAATTGTGCAAAAAATTGCTCAGTAGTTATGCTGTCGCCCCAGTTGTCAAAGTGCTGTGCAAACGGCTCCAATCTAGTCACCTTTTATTTTTTTTTAATTTAGAAAATAACAAAATTGTAATCACTTATCTTTTCTAGCACCCAGGAAAAAAAGCGAGGTATAACCTACCATAAAAAGCAGCTCATTCTTGGGGCCAAGGCCACTTCGTAATAAAGAGACGGAGCGTTCCCACTACAGACTTCAATTAAGAAGCTCCCTTTGGACAGGGAAGAAGGGTGTCCAATGAGGAAAAGAAAATTAAATTTGCCATCTTCCAGGCGTTTTCCCTCATAACTGTTTGTGCTCTAGTGTTGTTTGTTGAGTGATGGCATCTGTGCGGGTGCCCAGCCCCTGGAAGGCCGCAGAGGGCAGGTCCCGACGTGGGTGCAGGCTGGACGGGTGGCCGGGCAGCAGCGGGCAGCAGGCCCCGTTTATTTCTGCAGCTGCAGCCATCGATTCTGTGTTTACCCTGACAACAGCTCCAGCAGGAGTTCCTCGCTCATTAGTGGCCCTTGGATTTAAAATGCAGCTCATGGAGCTGCGCCACCGTAGTTTTTATTAAATTAGAAGTTGTCCCGGTTCTAGAATTTGCTCAGGAGCTTGTGGAGGTGGGGGAAGGGCAGAGGTTGGACAGCGCCCAGGGTGAGCAGTGCTCCTCAAAGCCCACCCAGTCACACCCAGAGCAGTGATCAAGGTGCATGGGAGGCACCCCAGCCACCTGGGCAGGCTGGAAGGAGGAGACTGGAGGTGGCCAGGACCGCCCCCTACCCCCAGCTGATAACTCTCCCAAAAGTGTGGCCTTCACCTCACATTCTCAGGCCGGGCTGGTTCTGACTCTCCCCAGCTGCAGAGCTCCCCAGACAATTCAGAACGTACTCAAGACTGCTGTACACATCCCCCCACCCATGCAATTGTTGGAAAATGTGTCACTTTAAGAACAGAAAGGCAGTGTCTGCTGGTTAACAGTGGTTAACCCAGCAGAAGGCGAGGGCACCTGGCTGTAGGTCCAGTCGCCCCGCTCCGCTCCTGCAGGGCCCACATCATCCTCATGTTCCCCGTGACCTTCTTCCTGAGCAACCCCTCGTCCAGCAGAGGCTCCCAGTCAGATGCCAGACCGAGCAGCATCCGCCCGTGTTAGTGTCTTCCTTTAAAATAGAGCTAGAATATTCCCCGCGAGGCCTCATGGCGTAAAGACTCACAATCATCCACCTGTAATTTATGATAAATGTCTCGGAGCACTTACTATTTGCATCTGTGAGTATTTATAGTCCTGGCGCAGGGCGGGTGGGAGAGGAGGCTGGAGCTTCACACCTGTCTCCACTGTTGGCCCCTCCCGATGTGGAGGCACGTCTGCCACCCGCGCCCCCTCGCAGCTCATCACTGCGGCTCTGACAGATAAAGAATGCCACCTTTAAAGGCGGGGACAGTGCATCCTTCCCAGATGTGGACAGGGGGACCCAGGCTTGGTTTCCATGGACACTTCAGGAATAGTGACAGTAACATTGACCGTCCTGGCCACCAAACATCCAGCTCCCCCATGGACAGCCCTGGCTCTGAGAAGGCCAGCAGGCCCATCTGACCGTGGTCTCTCAGCCTTCACACACCCAGCTCACTGGGTGCCAGACTCATCGAGCGGCAGCAGGGGCACTGCTTGCAGCCCCAGGTGCCCGGCTTACTCTCAAGCCCCGTAGCAGTCACCTGCTGGCAGGGCTGTGTCCTCCAGGACTTCAGCTTGGGGTGGGGTCAGGACACTTGCTGCCAAGTACCAAGAAGTGGCCTGCAGGAGACAGAGCGGTGCACAGGCCGCTGACCAGGTCAGGACCCCTCAGGCTCCGTGACTCAGTGGAAGGTAGGGAAGATGCGGAAGCTCTTCTTGGGGGCCAGAGAGCAGGGATGTGTCCTTTACCACACGTTATCACGGAGTCCATGCCA